ACCCGTCAGCCGGCGTTCGCACCATTAAGGGGCCTCATTAGCATCCCGGCTCAGAAGCAAAATTACCCTCACTGCTCATTTCAAGATGTCATCAATTTTAATTTAGGGCCCAAAGATAGTACAATGGGAGGCCCTCCGGCCGCCGCACACAGGGAGGGATGGGGGTGGGGGCGGGGGCCAGCAGGGAGAGGGGCTGAGCGAGGAGCCGAGAAAAAATGCCGACCTGCCCCTGCCCCGGGGACGCGCCGGCACCCCCCGTGGAGGGAAAGGGAATTGAGGTGCGGCCAGGGCAGGTCCGTAGTCCACCGCCCCCTTGAGGAAGCTACGGCGTCCGCGGCCACATCTTGAGTGACATGTTGTGCCTGGCACTTCCTTCAGTTTTTCCTCCAATCCCTAGACACCCTGGGAGGTAGATATTGAAGAACCCCCACCCCCAATTACAGGAAGGGAAACTGAGGCACAGAGAGCCCAGCAAGCTGAGGCAGAGCCCGCGGTTAATTAAATGTGGCTTTGCTGCTCCCTGCCTCTCTGGACCCAGACCCAGGCAACATGCCCAGCTCCCCACCCCCCTGCCAGCCCACCAGCCCTGCCGCCCACGGGCGCCCACATCCCTCAGGCCCTCACTCTGTGCCCGGCCTGGAGTGCCCCTCCCGCTCCTACTCAGCCCGGGCCTCACAGCTCAGCTTTGTACCACCTCCCCCACCTCCCATTGAAAACTCCTCTCGGAATCCTCAATGCTGTCACCTGCCGGCTCCTCACCCACCTGCCCTGGGGCTGCTGCCCCTCAGCCCTGTGGCTCCTGCAGCCAGGGCGGCCCCCTCCCCACCCCCTCAGGCTGGGCGCTCAGGTTTGTTGGGAAATGAATGCCCACCTCCTCCCAGCGCCCCCGTGCCCTCAGGTGGAGGGAGGGCTCCTGTCTGAGTGGAAAGGACCCACAGGGCTGCGCAGCCCAGCCCGGGTCAGGGAGCAGCGGGGGGAGGCCCTCGCTGGGGGGACGGGGTCCGAGAGGGGCTATTTCTGTCTTAGGGGGCACAAGCCTGTGCTGAAGGAACACATGATGGACCACGTGGCCAAGTGGGTGAGGCACCCCTCCCAGGGACGGGAATCTCAGCTGCCCCCTCGCTCGGCCTTGCAGCCACTGGCCTGGCTCGCCCCTGGGGAGCCTGTGTCACAGGGGGGCCTTCGCAGGCCAGTGCAGACATTCCTGGAAAGTCCTGTTCGGGAGGGGGAAAAGCCTTCTTGTTATTTCCAGCCAGCTCCACCGCCCCTCGTCTGTCCTAACTCACCCGCTCAGGCCACGTTCCTGAAACCTGCGGGCCTCGGTTTCCCCAAGTGTGAAGCAGGAGCTGGAAACCCATGCCTCCCACAGAAGCCAGGCTGAGGCTCAGGGACAGGCAGCAGGAGGGCGGCCTCGGGCGCCAGCCGAGGGGAAAGGGCACTGCCAATCACTGCCCCTGCCCTCCCCAGACTGAGTCCTGCCAGCCCTGCCCCCCCACCCCCGGCTGCCCGACGCCCCTGCTCCCCGGTCCCCCTCCCCCACCCTGAGCCCCGAGCCGGGTCCTTGCTGGCGGCAGGCGCCGCTCCCGGACTCACAGAAGACGGATCGCTCCCTTAATCACTCTGGAAAAGAACCCCAAGCCGATATAATATTATAATTAATTAATTCACTAAAAAGGTATTAAATTTCTCTCCCCCCTGTGGATATTATCTGAATTCATTGACCTTTAGAAAAATCACCCTCTAATTGTAACCAGGTCCGAAAGCATTTGCAGCCCGTCCCTTCTACATTAATAATATCTTCCTGGACCCGGCTCCGGCTGCTTAAATATTGTATAAATTCCACTGCCCCCCCCCCCCAGAAAGGAGAGAGCACAGGAAAAATGAGTCTGGAGGAGCCCGGGAGGGGGATGGGGCCGGACCCTAAGAGGTGGGGTCTGGGGGGCGGAACAGGAGGAGAACGGATGGGGCTCTTTCTAGTCCTTCCAGCTGACATGCCACGGGCCTTGGAGGGGCACAGGAGGGAAAGGGGGCAGGAGTCTTCATTTGGGGTTCCTTTTTTGGAGGCTTGAGGGATGAGGGGAGAAGATTCACAATGCGTATCTGATTCTCATCCGAGTCCACGGCTCCAACCAGCTAAGGAAGAATCTGATTTAAAGGAACAGTGGGCGATGGGACCTGTGAAACTCTGAGCATGGAGGACGCCGAATGCTGAGGAGGTAGGCACTAAGCAACAGAGAGCCAGTGCCCCTGGCCTGGCCGGAGCGAGGCCCCAGCCCATGCCTGCCCTTCAAACCTCTGTGAATTCTCCAGGCCTCGGGTCCTGCGCGGTCAGACAGGCCCGTGCCTGCTGGCACCCCCACCTACTCACCCACCCCTTTTTAAAAATAACTCCCCCTGCCGAAACCGGTGTGGCTCAGTGGATAGAGCGGCGGCCTGCAGACTGAAAGGTCCCAGGTTCGATTCTGGTCAAGGGCATGTACGTTGGTTGCGGGCACATCCCCAGCAGGGGGTATGTAGGAGGCAGCTGGTTGATGTTTCTCTCTCATCGACGTTTCCAGCTCTCTATCCCTCTCCCTTCCTCTCTGTGGAAAACCAATAAGATATATTTAAAATAAATATAAATAAATAATAACTCCCCCGGAGGACCTTCCGTCTGGGAAGGTGTTGTCTGGCCCCCAGAAAGCGCGGGTGAAGAGCGCACCCCTCCTGCTTGCTCTGAGGTGCTCACAGCCACGGGCAGGAAGCCGCTGGCCTGGCTTCTCTCCGTGGACCTGGCGTTCCTGCAGGCCAGTCCGGACGTGAACTTCCCGGGCGGCCTGTGGCAATGCGAGGTGGCACCTCCGCCTGTCGTCGCCAGGCCCGAGGCGCTGCAGGGCCCCAGGCAGACCGTTTGGAATGTGCAAGGAAGCCCAGACTCCTGCCGCCCCACTCCCTGGCCCCCCTCAGCCTGGCTGACAACTGTTAGCTCCTGGCCCTTGGGCGCCCTCCTGTGGGTGGAGCCTCACCCACACCCTCCGGCCACCAGACCCTGCTTCCCAGGAGGAGCCCAGCGGCCAGGAAGCCGGCAGGCGGGTGGATGGTGCGGGTAGGGTGGTCTTAAGGGGCTGATGGGAGGCTTACTCCGCTGAAGGAATCCTCAAATGGGGTTCTCCTTCACTCACCAGCGGCCTTCAGCGTCCCCAGACCCCACCCCCTCGGTGCCCAAACAGCCACACCTGGACCCACCAGGCAGCCCTCAGCGGGGACCCAGGGCTTGTCCCAGGCAGGACTGGGGGTGCTCCCGGCGCCTGGGCAGGTCCCCGGCATGGGGTGGAGCCTCGAACCGGAAGGAGGTGCCAGTTCCCCAGGCTGGCTCACACTCCACAAGGTCGTCCACGGCTCCACCTGACCTTGAGATGAGTCCCCAGCCCAGTGCCATCAGCATGAGCCTGGCCTCTTTCCTCCCGCCCCTCTGCCTTCATCCCTCAGCGCAGACCTGATCTCCGGCTCTGCACGGAGGACGCTGCCCCCCGCTCTCCTCCTGGGATTTTCCAATTGTTATTAATTGGGCCCCTTCAGCCTCCCCAGCCCCAGGAGGGGAAACCCATTTTGATCGCTGCCTGAGGACACAGGGGAGAGGAGGGAGAACTAGGCAACGCCCCCAGGGACCCTCTCTCCCTCCCGGACACCCGGAGGTCAGGCTGCCGCTCCACCCCTCGCTGCGCCAAACCCACGTCCCCCTCCTGGGCGAGGCCACGCACCAGGCCCTGGAGCAGAGGCCCGGAGAGCTGCTCTGCTCTGCGGTGGGACTGAGGCCGAGGGAAGAACTGGCCAGAGCCAGTAGAAGCCTGTCCTTGGCTCCACCCAGGGTCCTGCGTGCCTGCCTCCTTCCAAACCAGTTCACGTGGGTCCTGGTTCCCCAAACCCAGAGGACACCCCTTCCTTACTAGGGAGCCGGAGCTGCTAGAGACACGAAATCACCGAGTAGAGGGGCCTGAGCCCCTGACGGAAGGAGGGGAGGGGGGAGGATCCGAGAGGTCGCCACCACCAGTGGGCGTGGGGGACAGGAGATACGTGCCCCCCTACCCAGTCAGGGGTAGCCTGGGCCAAGGGTGTCCAAACCGCTGCGAAGAACAGTAGACTCAACCCAGTTCCCCAGTCACCCTGCCAAGCGGCTCTGGAGGCGAGGCGAGCGTGGCTGCAGCGCCATCTCGTGGCTGCGAGGAGGAACTTCTCTTCCGCACCAAGCCCGAGGAAGGCTAGCTTGCCCTAGGCAGGGCTGGGGTGCTGGGGGGACTGGGTGGCAGGCTTGTTCCTCCCTCTCTGTAACCCCCTGCCCTCACCCGCATCGGGTCTCTAGAAAGAATCCTCCCGTTCTCCCTCAGCCCCAAACCCACTCCAAAGAGACAGGACACGTGGGTACAAAGCACAGTGTTTACTAAGGCACAAAGTGGGGAGACTGGAGGGAAGCTGCTCTTTCAGCAGAGACCCCACACTAGCCTGAACCCAGCACCCTCTGCCGGCCGCCCCCACCCTCACGCCGCCAGGGGGAGAGCTGTTAGCACCAAAGGGGGGCGGGGGTGCCCCCCCTGTGTGAGGGGCGTGGCCAGGCTGGAGGACGGGCTTGTTGCCCTCTGAGTCCCAGAAAAGCAGGCCTGGGCTCCCCCTGGCCCCGGCTCTGCTTCGGAGAAGGGACTTCCGGAACCCCCTGCTCCAAGGAGTCCCTCATGGGCGGGGTGGCAAGACAGGACTCTCCAGGACCCATTCTCACCTCCAGCACAGCCCCGGGGGCCCGGTTCAAGATCTCCTCCTGCCCAGCTCCGTTGGAGGGCTGCCCCGGGGAGTGCTGAGTCGGGCAGGGGCTTCTCCCGACCCCACAGGCTGCCAAGCGGGCACTAAGTCCAAACAAGAGGCCGAAGGGAGGGCGGCAGGGCAGGTGGCTACGTCACACACGAGTGCAGCCTGAAGGGGGGAGGGAGGCGGCCCTGCCCTCCCAGCCCCAGGCCTGCCCATCCCCAGGGTCACAGCACGTCGCCCTCCTCCATGCTGAAGCTGCTTCGGCGGCTGCTGGCCTTGGAGGCCTCGGGGGACATGGTGGAGAAGAGGGGGTCGGAGGCCAGCGGCAGCAGTGAGTTGTCCAGGAGCATGAGGTCCAGGTCCTTCTTGGACAGGTTGGGGAACAGGGAGCCGTGCTCTTGCCCCATGGGCTCCGGGTAGCCTGGGGGCCCTTCGTCGCCCCCACCCCCAAAGCTCAGGCTGTGGCTCAAGTCCAGGTGGTGGAACGGGGACGGTGGCTGGGGCTGCTGGGCTGGCGGGGGCAGCGGGGCCTGGGGGGGCAGAGTCGGCAGTGACTCGGGGTCGGGGACCTCGGCCCTCAGCAGCAGGGCCTCCCCTTGGCCCTCCTCGCCAGGCAGCTCCTGCTTGACCACCTGCTGGGCCAGCTCGGCCATGTTCATGCCGGACGGGGAGGTGGTGGGGAGGCCGTGCACTCGAGCCTGCATCTCCAGCTCCTGTGTGGTGGGCAGACAGAGGGCTAAGGGCACACACCCATGGACACCGGCTGCCCCCGACCCCGGCCTGAGCCCCTGCCCCTCTTCCGTGGCATCCGAGACCACACACAGCCTCCGCCTAGGGTAGCTTCCCCTGTGTTTTTCCAAACTATAAGTCACAACTCATTAGTGGGTTCTGAAACCACTTAGTGAGTCTTGACCAGCTCTCCCTCCAGGTCCCTGAATTGAAATAGACTTGCCTGGACTAGATTAGGCTAGACTAGACTAGAAACTACCAGAATGCCCTGCATTTAATAAGGAGAGGGTTCTTTGATGAAACTTTGAGTGTGGCTATGTGTGCTGTATTGTAATGCAAATTTAGTTATCTACTGTGAGAAATAGAAACAGGAACGTTTAAAAGCTTCCGTCCAATCGCCCTTTAGATCGATGACCAGCCGCAGGTCCAAAGAGGACAGAGGCCCTCTAGCCAGGACTAGACTAGAACCTGTGGCTCCAGGTGACTCCCAAGCCTTGGTTCTTGAGTTGGCCTCATTGGCGATCCTTAGCACTTATCACCAAATGGTTTCAACTCTCTGCCTTCCCTACAGGGTGGGCTTGCTCTTTGCTGCCCCCTTGAGGTTAGGTGCAGGCGTGCACTTGTATTGATCAATTAACTATAAGCAGAGGTGTGATGAGTGCCACCTGAAGAGTAACTATGGCTTTAAGGGCCAGCTGTAGATGTAGCTGTCCATTTCCCTGGGTCCCAGAATGGAGGTCTCCAGGAACAGAGCTCCAGCTGCTATCTGCTGCTTAAAGTTGCTGGGGATGTGTGTTACCAAACCAGAACATCCTGACTAATACATCTTCCCTTCTCACGGCACCATTCCCATGACTTCAGTACGCCCTGCCCCTGAGGCCAAGAGCCAGGGCAGGGGGCAGGAGTCGGAGCTTCCCAAGAGGCCCAAGTGCAGGGGCCAGACCTGGATCCGCAGCCAGAGCTGCTTGTTGGTCATCTCCAGGCGCCGAGAGTGGTTCTCCAGCTCCCGGGACTTCTGCAGGTCCTTCTGCATCCTCCGGATGTAATCCACAGAGGCCTTGAGGATGGTGCCCTTGTTCCAGCGCACATCCCTGCAGGGCACAGAGCCAGAGGTGTGCCATGCACTCCGGAGAAGGGGGGATCGGAGAGGGAGGGTGATGAAACCCCGCTTTGGTTTCAGAAGCCGATGCCACCTGCCCCAACTTAGCCAGGAACCTCTCAGACCCAGCCAACCCCTATCCGAGCCGAGGCTGCTCTCCCTACCCACGGAGCAACCCTCCCAGGGACCGCGCTGCCACACCCACCTCCCTGATCCCATAGAACCAAGGGATTCAGAACTGCCTCCTTCCCCAGCCTTCCGTTTCTGCCACCCACACCCATACAGGTCCTCCACGCTCGTGCGCCTGCTCCAAGCCCCCTCCCCACCGGTTCAATGTCCTCAACACACTTTCCCCTGTAGTTCCTCCTCCAGGAATCCCCCCCCCCGCCCCCTCCCCCCGCCCTGCCTCCCTCCAGAACATCTGCTCCTCTGCCTGCAGCTTCCTGATTGGAGTGAAGGAGGGACCTCTTCCCAAACAGCCGATAGAGAAGCTCTTAGAAGGCAGCAATCCAGGGATTCTCGTCCCGCCCTCCCCCCTGGCAACCAGCTTGGGGCGGTTTGTTCCAGCCCCTGCCCAGCCCTCCCCCTCCCCCAGAAACCCGCTCACAGGTCATTGGCCTTGGGGATCAGCATTCCCAACTCCTTGATGCGGTCGTTAATGTTGAACCTCCGTCTCCTTTCGACTGAAGGCGACACAGGCAGGAGGGAGCGGTTAGAGGCATGAGCCCCCCCTGGGGAGAAGGGCCCAGTCCCAGGAAGGGTGCCTTTGCCTTCTGGGAAGTAAGGGGCGCCCAAAGGAGTGGGATCTCTCTGGGATGGGGGTATGGGCGCAAGCCGGGCACCACCAAGGGGCTCTGCGAGGGAGGGCTGCCAGCAGACCAAGCCGCCCAGGTTAGGACACCCCCACTGCCCCGGAGTCCCCAGGTCCCAGGCCCAAAAGCAAACCATCTGATAAACTCATTCGCTCTGAGGTGCTGGCGATTTCATGACTGTCCCCTGGAGCCCCTCTCCCACCCCTTCCCTTGGGGAGGGAAGGCTACCTAGGCCTGAGCCAGAGGGAGGCAGGGGAAGGGGCTGGGGGGGATGACTCACTTAGGTTGTGATTGTCCTTCTTCTGCCGCTCCTTGGCCAGGGCCCGGCTCTCAGCGTCTGGAGGCCGGGAGAGAAGCAGGGAGGAGCTGGGAGGGAGGGAGAGGAGGGGGAGGTGGGGGATGGACACAGGGAGGCAGGGAGGAGGTACCTGTAAGCTCACGCTTCTGGGTCAGGTCGGCTGGGCAGGAGCTGCTGGTGACCCCCACCAGGGAGGCTGTGACCTGAGGGTCTCCACTGTACACGTTCAGGTGGCTGCTGGACAGCGGCAGCTGTGGGGCGAGGTGGAGAGGGGGGCCCAGTGAGCAGCCCCGACTCCATGAGGGGTCCTCACCAGGGCCCATCGCCCCAGGTCAGCTTCAGCTCTAAGCTGCCAGCACCAGAGGCGTCAGAATTCACGGGGGGCCTCTCCAGCCGGCCGCCGCCGTCCTCCTGAGAGCCTGCAGAGTCCAGGGCTGAACAAGCGGCAGGCCCCAAGAGTTCAGCCTACACTGGAGCCTCCAGGAGGTAGTGAACGCCAGGTGCAGGTTTGGGAGGATCTGCCCCGGGCTTAGGAGTTCCGGGGGCGGGGCACCCAATCTCCTCCGAGGTTTTCCCGAAGGCGGCAGGAGGGCGTGGAGCGGCAGTCCCAGGCAGAACGGAGAGGAGGGTCCTACCGGGGTGGGTGGGACTGCCTGCAAGTGTGTAGGGACCCGGGTGGCAGGAGGTGAGCTGGGTCCTGGTGTGCTGGGCTCAACTTGCAAAGCCCTGGGGTTTGGGGATGGGCAGCCAGTGGGGGTGTAAGCAAGTGCCCGGCAGGAGCAGATCTGGGCTCTGGAAAGACCCCCGGCTCCTACACAGTCACAGGCCCAGAGCCCTACACAGGGCACCCAGAGGCCGCGAAAGGGACCGGGAGTGGCCTCTCTCCCTCCCTAGACCTCAATGCCCCCACTGAGCACCTGGACAGTGTCTCATTGGCTGGGGATTAAGGGGTGACTCCTTGAGTCCCCACGGTGGGAAGGGGAGGTAGGGGTCAGAGTTTCCTACAGTGGCAGGGGCCAGGGCCAGGGCCAGGGCGGCGGCTCAGAACCCCCAAAAGGGGTGGGACACCTGCACCTTCCCCGGCTCAGTGTAAATACTGTCACCTCTGTGCACAGCTGGCCCCCGTTTCCTGCTGTGCCTAATCTTCCCGCCATCCTGTGAGGAGAAGGCGTCTTTCCTATCTCACAGTTGAGAGCAAAGACCCAGAAGAGCGGAGAGACTTCCCAAGGTCACAGCCAAAGCCGGAAGCCAGGCCTCCTGAGTCCTCACCTGGCTCCGGCCCACCGGCCACCTCCTTCGGCTCTCGCAGCCGGAGGCTCAGGAGGAAGGGGACAGAGCCGCCCGGTCCCTCCCCCCACGGAGTGAGGCCACGGGCCTGGCCCACTGGGCCCTCAGCTTGGAGAAGGGGGAGCCCCGGACCCAAAGGAGCTCACCGGCTCTGGGCCTCCTTGTAGCCACTGCTGCCCCCGGGACTGCTCCCTGCCCCTCTGCTGAGGCCCAGCAGCCGGACCCTGCCCCTGCCCCCACCCCACCAGGCCCCTGGCCCTGCTGAAGCCCCATCGGGCACGCAGGTGGACGCACGTCCCTCGGGATCCCAGCTGCCCCGGGCCCGGGCCCTCCTTCCAGGATTTGATGGAGGCGGCCGGGTCTGGTTCTCTCCAGGCTTAGAGCCGGGAGGACCTCGGCCCCTCCCTCTGCCGCCCCACCCGCCCGGCCAGCCGTACCGTATTGGGCATCTGAGACTCAGGATTGATGAAGCCCAGGACGTCGTCCAGACACATAATGTTGTCGATGACGTCAAACTGGAAGAGAAAAGTCTGTCTGGGGAGGGCCCACTGGAGGGCAGGCTGCCGGGCCCTGCCTGAGGCACCTGGAGTCCACCCCACTCTACTCCTGATCGTGGGGAGCAGTGGGGTAGGGCTGGGACATGAGCTTCCAGGTCCCACAGCCCAGAGCCCAGCCAGGTCTCCTCCCCAAGGAGACAATGGCCAGGGGGATGGCTGTGCAGGTTTCCTGTGGGCCTCTGAGCGTGCCCGGGGACAGGCAGAGGGGACGGACTCCCCGGGGACAGGCCGTGTCCCCCTCAGACTGGGGCTCCTTGAGGACAGGGCCGTGTCCCCCTCAGACTGGGGCTCCCTGAGGACAGGGCTGTGTCCCCTCAGACTGGGGCTCCCTGAGGACAGGGCCGTGTCCCCTCAGACTGGGGCTCCCTGAGGACAGGGCCGTGTCCCCCTCAGACTGGGGCTCCCTGAGGACAGGGCTGTGTCCCCCTCAGACTGGGGCTCCCTGAGGACAGGGCCGTGTCCCCTCAGACTGGGGCTCCCTGAGGACAGGGCCGTGTCCCCCTCAGACTGGGGCTCCCTGAGGACAGGCCGTGTCCCCCTCAAACTGGGGCTCCTTGAGAACAGGGCCGTGTCCCCTCAGACGGGGGCTTCCAGGGGGCAGGACCTGGGTGGCAGCAGTGGCAGCTCCCCACTCACCTCCCGCTCGGGGTTGGAGCCGATGTGCAGCATGGCCATGGGGCTGTTGGGGGCACTGTTGCCTGCTGAGGAGGACACCACGTGGCCAGCCCGCACCCCCGGGGAGGCGGCGGGCAGGGGCTTCGGGGAGCCCTGGGCGGGGCTGATGTGGGCAGCAAACTTGTTCCCGTAGGTCTCCGACAGGTACTCCCGCACCTTCTGGTCCCGGGACTGCTGCAGGTGGTAGGAGGTGGGGTTCTCCAGGTAGGACTGCACCTGTGGGGGGAGGCAGCTCGAGCGTGCCCGGGACAGGCGGGAGGGGACGGGCAGGAGGGGATGGGCAGGAGGGGACGGGCCGGAGGGGACAGGCCGGAGGGGACGGGCCGGAGGGGACAGGCGGGAGGGGACAGGCGGGAGGGGACGGGCCGGAGGGGACGGGCCGGAGGGGACAGGCGGGAGGGGACAGGCGGGAGGGGATGGGCAGGAGGGGACAGGTGGGAGGGGACGGGCCGGAGGGGACGGGCCGGAGGGGACAGGCCGGAGGGGACAGGCGGGAGGGGACGGGCCGGAGGGGACGGGCCGGAGGGGACAGGCCGGAGGGGACGGGCGGGAGGGGACGGGCGGAGGGGACGGGCGGGAGGGGACAGGCCGGAGGGGACAGGCCGGAGGGGACAGGCCAGAGCTCTACCTTCAGCACCTCCCCGGGCACAGGGGGTGGAGACTGGAAGTGGGCGGGGGTGCTGATGGCCGGGGTGGGCGGCCCCCCCAGCTGCTGCTGCTGCTGCTGCTGCTGCTGCATGTAGTGCATGACGGCCTGCTGCTGCATGCGCTCCCGCTGCTCCTCCTGCTGCGCCTGCTCCCGCATGAGCTGCATGCGCAGCCCGATGCGCGACGCCATGGCCGCTGGCGCTGGCTTCCTGCGGATGGGGGACAGGGCAGGGCAGGTCTGTGAGGCGTGGTGCTACCGGGCTGGGGGCGGGGCCCGGACCAGAGGGAGTGCCCCCAGTGCATGTGCCGGGCACTTGCCCAGGGTCACTGCGGAGCCTGGGATGCAAGTGCCCTGGGTCCTGGGCCAGAAGCGGATTCCTTCTGCTTGGCTCACTGCAGGTGTCGGCCCCGACACTGGGGTCACTGCCCTCCGCTCCCGCACACCTGAGGCCTGTCAGATCTGACCTCAGGGGCCTCCTCCTCTGCCCTCCACCTCGCTGCCAGGTTATTTGGTTCTGGGCAGCCTCTCCCTTCTCCTGCCTCACCAGATTCTTCTACTCAGAACTCTAATCCGGGAATCCCGTTAAAGCCGGGTCAGATCCCGCCCCTCCCTCTGCTCAGAACTCACTCGGGCTCCCACTTCGCTCCGAGGAAGCCCACGTCCTCACCAGAAAGGGGCTCTGGGGTCTGACCCCGCGCCTCCTGCTCTCCACCTGCCCTAGCCACCCCGACCCTCAGACACCAGGTGCGCCCCCACCTCAGGGCCTGGGCACCGGCTCTGCCTCCGCCTGGATGCCCTTCCACCAGACCCTGGTGGCTCGGGCCCTCACCCGCAGCTCCTTCATCTTCCAGAGCATAAATATCACCGCAGACTTCCATGGCCTCCTCCTTTGCGATCGCAAAACCCCCACCTGTTTTATGATTCTCCGTATCACTGGCGGCCGTCTTAAATGTTATGCATTTTTGCTTAGTTCTTCCATTCGCTGCCTATCTCTTCCCAGGAATGCAAGCTCCCCTGAGGGCAGGCATTCTGTCCGTCTTGTTCCCTGTGGTCCCTTTGGCCTCCGGCCCAGGGTCTGTGACGGCAGGCCCTATCGCTCTATCGAAGCTCTGCGTGCGGGAGCGTTTGCTCTTTATGACCCTGCAGTGGCCGCGCAGCTGCAGGCCGACTGCAGCCCCTGTGCTCCGGAGGCCACGGTCCCCCGGGAGAAAGGCAAGTCGGAGGCCTTGCAGCCCGAAGCAGGGAGGGCCGCTCCGGCACCGGTCCTGCCAGGGCTCCCAGAGGCCTCTCACCGCCCGGCACTGCAGCCTGAGTTCTGCCGGGGTCGGGGGAGGTGTGTGTGGGGGGAGACACGGGGGCTGAGGCCTCCAGGCCCAGTCTGAGAGGAGGCGGGGCGGGACAGACGAGGCCTGCAGCAGGGCCCACTCTGTCCCTGGCTCACTCAGTGGCTGGTTACATCCTCTCTGAGCCTCCGTGTCCCTGTGCACAACATCGCCATCTTACATATTAAATATTAGATGGGGTGGGCCTGGGTGATGTCTAAGGTCCCTCCCAGCTGGGATGGGCTCAGACTCTCTGAAAGGTGGCCCAGACTCCACCCAGGTCCTGGCAGGGGCTGAAAGGTCCCCTCCCAGGAATATTGCAAGAGACGCCAAGACTGCATGGTTGAGCACATGCTACCCAACAGGACAGGCATGGGCTTGAATCCCAGCTCTGCCGCCTCTTTGCTGTGTGACCTTGGGCAAGTCACTTAACCTCTCTGAGCCTCAGTTTCCTCACCTGTACACAGTTTCTACATTGGGAGATCGGTGAGAGTGTTCAATCACAATAATGCGGCTTTAGCAGCGCGTGGCACTGGGGGGGGGGGGGCGCTGAGTGGGTAACGGATCGGCAGGCTTAGCTGCCGTGCAGAGCAGAGGCCAGAGCCGCACCCTGGGGCCTAACCACGGGCCGGAGACCTTTGCGGGTGGGAAAGGAAAGCACGTGGCTGGCAGGTCCGGTCAAATGCCAGGCACCAGACATAGGCATGAGCGGGAGGTCCTGGCCAAGATTCCATGAGGGTCACTGGGCCCGGGGAGTAGCGGCCGTCCACATGTCTGAGCGCGCACTGTGTGCGGGTGCTCCGCCAGCCCCACGGGGGGGGGGGGGTTGACATTGTTCTCCTTTTACAGACGAGGACACTGAGGCACGGGGAGGCCAGGGTCTTGCAGAGAAGACAGTGGCTGGGAGCCAACCCCAGGCTGCGGGAGGATCTTGTCCCAGGAGGAGCGTGTCTGGTTGGTCCAGGGCCAGGAATGGAGTCCACGCCAGCGGACCCCCAGCCCAGTCCCCGTCCACCACCACAGCTGCTTCCCTCCCGAGCGGGACAGCACCATGGCCTCCAGGTCTGAGCACTCAGCGGCCCTCCCTCACCACCGTCCTCCCTGCACCGTGCTCCCTTCTCCGCCCTCCTAGGCCAGGAGGTAGTCAAGGCGCCGCCTCAGCTTCAGGGGCAGCTCTTAACCGGACAGTCCCCAGGAGAGAGGGGCAGACACCCCCCTCCCCCCCGCCCCTTCTCGGTCCTGTAGCAGGGGCACAGCTGCAGCCCCGCCCCTTTCCCGTGCCCCCCGGAGGGGGAGCCTGTCCTTGACCTGCTGTCCACCTCACGCAGCAGTCCCGCCGGCTGACCCCAGCCCAGCCCTCCGCCCTCCCTGCAGCTGCCCCACACTCACACAGCAGCGCCCGCAGCTCCTCTGCCTCAGGGACAATCTCACTTCAGCTGGCCTCTGGGGAGGGGCTGGGCCTGGCAGTGCCAGCCGGCGCGGGGAGACGGGCTGGGGGGGAGAAGGAGCCCCTTGTTTCTCTGACAAAGGGCTGGGCTGGAGCTGGCTCTGGCTGAGGAGACCCCAGCAGGCCCGGCGGCTGCTCTGGCCGCCCGGCCTCAGTTTGCTCGCGTGTCAGGTGGAGGCAGGACGCCGGGCGCCACCGCCCTCGGGGACGAGATCTCAGAGATTGTGAGCCATGCGGGCCTGAGCATCCAGGCTGTGGGTTGTTCCAGCCTGTTCCCGTCCTCCAAGGTGGCTCAGGGGCCCATTGTCAAAGCTGTCACCCCTCACAGAGCGGCTCTTCCCACAAAGCCCCAGGCTCCTCCCTGGGCCCCTGGGCTGGGTGTGGGGTTGAGGGAGGGACTTGAGGGGATCCGAGGGTGGATGAGGTGGTGCAGGGGAGACCCTGGGCATGCTCATCTTATCCCCTGAGCACACCTATTCACTCTCAAATCTGAGAGCCTTTTGCAGCCTCCCCAGAGCCCGGTGTTGGCAGGAAGAACAGAGGAGGGACACGGGGAGCCCAAATGCCCCGGGCATGGTGAGCACACGATACAATAGGCACATGATGTATTCTAGAGCTGTACCCCTGAAACATACATAATGTCACTAACCAACTCATCCCAATCCTATATAATAAAAGAATAATGAGCAAATTGACTATCACTCCAACACACAAGATAGCCACCTTCATGTGGTCAAAGGTGGCCACCCCCATTGGACACAAGATGGCCACCACAAGATGGCTGGCAGAGGAGGGCAGTTGAGGGAGATCAGGCTAGCAGGTGAGGGCAGTTGGGAATGACCAGTTCTGCAGGGGAGGACAGTTGCGGGGGGACCCAGGCCTGTAGGGGAGGGCAGTTAGGGGTGACCAGGCTGGCAGGGAAGGACAGTTAGGGGTGACCAGGCTGGCAGGGAAGGACAGTTAGGGGTGACCAGGCTGGCAGAGGAGGGAAGTTAAGGGTGACTAGGCCATCAGGGGAGGGAAGTTAGGGGCAATTGGGCCAGCAGGGGAGCAGTCAGGTGTCGATCAGGCTGGCAGGGGCATGGTTAGGGGGTGATCAGGCTGGCAGGCAGGCAGGTGAGTGATTGGGAGCCAGCAGTTCTGGATTATGAGAGGGATGTCCCAGATTGGAGAGGGTGCAGGCTGAGCTGAGGGAGGGCCTCTAGTAAAGTAAAAAACAAAAGAAAATGCTCCTGGACCCCTCCCAGCATCAGTCCCCCATGCATGAACTCAGCAACCAGGAGCCTGGAGTGCCTGCTGCACAGCACAGCCTTTTCCCTGCCCCAGCCTCCTCTTGGGGGGGGGGGGGGGGAGAGTGTGTCTGACGCCCCAAAGAATTCCTACCCCTGTCCAGTTGCATGGAAAACACAGCAGGGACTAAGTTTCAGCCGAGAGAATGAGAGCTACCCCCATCTGCGCCCTGAGAACCCACAGGCCACTTCCTGCCCCTGTTTACCCAGAATCTCCCAGCCGGCTCTACCTCTGCCCTTGCTGACTCTGGGCTCTAGCTTAGTTCTGGCCAAAATGAGCTGCACCGTCCGACAGACTGGGCTGGGGCCCCGCTCTGCCCAGACTGGCTGGGTGACGCTGGGAAAGCCACTAAACCTCTCTGGGCACCTGTGTCCCCTGGTAAAACGGAGCCTCAGCTCCTCATGGGTGGCTGGGAGGCGTCCAGGAGACAGTGAGGGGGACTTCAGGCCCTGCTCCATGTTCCCTGTTCCCTGGGGCTGTGGAGTGGCAGGGGTTCTCGGGGACAGCCCCTTAGGCACCCAGTTTCCCCTCTGTGCTCCACCGGGCTCCTCTGCTCAGGGCCAGGGCAGCTTCTACCAGCGTGCGTGCGGGCACCTCCCCTCACTATGAGCACTGAGCAGAACCTTTCCTGAGAGAAGGTGTGGACAGAGGACCAGGAAAGAGGGAGATGTCGCTGCCTCCCCCTCTGCCCACCGTGGACCAGACAAGGAGAAAGAAGACCCCAGAACAGAAGAGTCCTGACATAGGAAAAAGGACTCAGGTACATCGCTGAGCGGAAAAGGCAAACTGCGGAATGACATGTCCAGCCCGGGCGCTCGGCAGGAAGCGGGTGAGTGTGCAGAAGAGATCAGGAGGATCAGAATGCTTTCTGAACGCTTGCCTGGACGGGGGCTGGCCAGTGCTTCTCAGACATTAACTCCTCCCTTCTTCACAGCGGCTCTGGGAGGTGACGGCCGTGGGCCCCCGTTTCCAGGAGACTCTGAGGCACAGAGACGCAGTCATTGCCCACGGTTTCACAGAGGAGAAGCAGCAGAAGGGAAACCGAGGCAGGCAGCCTGGTTCACGGCCTCCACTCTTTATCCGCTGTGCTGAGCTCCCCAACACCCCCCTGCTCAGAGTGGTTCCTGCTGGGAAGGGTAGTGGGGGGGT